ACCCACTACCCTCTGTCTTGGTTCTGGGTTTAAGGGTCAATGCTATGCACTTGGATTGCTTCAGTGAAAGTAACTTCGTGGTCTCAGGTGCCCGCGGTCAAGTTCTCCTTAGGCTGATAGGGCTGTGCTGAACGGCCGTGACCGTGGTACTTACAGGTGTCCCAGCAAAAGGACGGTGGCAGCAGATAGTAGCAGAGCGAGACCTACTGAGTAATCTAGACACATGACTGGACTTTATCGTCATGTGGGACAGTTTTAGCCATGTGGCTTTGGGGTGTCACTATAGCTACTCATTAAGCTGGAGGAACGAAAACTACCTTTGGGTCGACGTGAATACAAAGCCCAGGTCCATTCTCGAAAAGAGGGTGTCGTGGCTCTGAGCACAGCGGTTTGTGGGTTCTAAGGACTCACTGTCCAGAAACGGCCTTGCTTTTTCTCGGAGACCGTGGGCACATTGGATGCGAGAGGCTGTGCAGTCAGAGTAGGTGTGAGGGCGGGGTGCGTCTGTGTCCGTCATTTCTCCCCTGAAATTTTTATTCTGCGTCTCTTACAGTACTCTCAGAAAGAAGACAAATACGAGGAGGAGATAAAGATCCTCACCGATAAACTCAAGGAGGTGAGCGAGGGGACTTATAGGCAATGGACCCCGACGCTTGCAGGTGCATGAGGCATTCGTGCGGACTTAGACGCCCTGGCTGGGGTTCTGATGGGTGTAGAAGCAGAAGGTAGAAGTGGGCGAGGCTCTCCTCTCGTTCGTCTCGTCCCTCATCCCTGATTCTGGCCGCTTTCGTGTTCCCTCCAGGCAGAGACCCGCGCGGAGTTCGCGGAGAGATCGGTAGCCAAGCTGGAAAAGACGATCGACGACTTGGAAGGTATGCAGCCTTGGGGAGGGATTCACATGCAGAAGCAGAGAGAGACCGGGCCCGGCGACCGTTAACCTCTTTCCCCGGGCTCCAGATGGAGTCGGCAGTGGCTTGGCGTGCACGCCGTGCCCTGTCCCATGTCACAAGTAGCTGGGGTGGGTCAAACCCTAGAACTGGGGTTTTACACTCAGTCTTTTTCCTTCAGTGAGACGCTAGCTGACATTCTGGAATTCGCTCTTTTCCGTGGAGGAGACTGGCAATGGCTGCATCTGCCTCCAGTCTAATGGTCTTAAATCCTTAGTCTGTGGGGTGAAATGGTAGTCACACTTTGAGAAGGCAGCAAGAACGTGTGTCACCCCGTGGCTACTTTTGGCAATCCCGTTCACCCCGCACGTTGAGGGGGACCGCTCCAAGGGGCGCAGCTGTGGAATCACCACGTCCCTGAGCCGACCTGTGCCAAGGGCTTTCTGAATACTTCCTGTCCCCACCATTGGGCACCTGTGTCCACTCTGAGAGCTCTGACGTGCTCTGGCCGTGACTCTGGGCAGCGGGGTGTCTTGGGGAGAGTCTGGGGAGGCCACCTGCGGAGCAGAGGGGCCCAGAATACTGGTCACGCTTGGCAGCTGGCGAAGTAGTTGAGTGTTGATGTGTGCTGGTCCATTTTCTGGTTTCGTTAAGTTAGGCGTTGCCACTGCTAGAAATCGAGTTAACTGGGCAGCAGCAGGGCCTCTGGCTCTGGCGGTAGGAATTCCCTGTGGTGACTCTGCCCGGGTTCTCAACTCTTGCCGCGATCCATTAGCGGTGTCACGAAGTCCGGTGGGTCCCGGGGGACAGTGGATCTGAAAACGGCCGTGGGTCTAGCACCACGCCGCTCTCTCCCCGATTTCTAATGATACCCTCTCTTCAGCGCTCTGATACCTTTCACTCTGTCCCCTCGTTCCTCCCTGTGGTTCCTGTGCCTGTCCAGATGAGCTCTATGCCCAGAAACTGAAGTACAAGGCCATTAGCGAGGAGCTGGACCACGCCCTCAATGACATGACCTCTATGTAATTATGTGTGACAGCAGGCGGGGCTGGGACCTTGGCTTGCGGGTGGCTGGGGGTGTAGACCGCTTAGTGTGCTTTGGTTTTATCCTCTGGACACTAGAATGTCCACCCTCATCTTTAAAACATTGGTGCTGGTTACTCACTGGCAGAAGCTGGGGAAGCATCTACTTTGGGGTCAGTGGTACAACCCTGACCTACCTGCGGTTTTGATTCACAGTCCCTTCATCACAGCACGGTGCGTTTTCTGTTTGTTTCTCAAATAGTCTCCCCAGCAGGGAGACTGCCAAAGGTAGAATCGTGTCTTCGTGCAGCCGAGGGCCAGTGACTTGGCTCTCACACTGCGGAGCAAAACTCAGACCTCCTGGGTGTATTTGCTTTGTGCCCCGATGTTAAAGTTCCGGGGAGAGTCTCACCCACGATTGGAAATATCACATGCACCCGAGAATTGAACTTGATTCCCAGATCTCGGTCCCAGAGCGAGCCAGTAGTAAAAAGCACCAAGAAGAGTTGTCGGGGACCCTCCCCCGTTTGCTGTGCATCCCCGGTCTTGAAGCTGACCTGCGCCTCATGTCTTTCCCACTAACCCCGGAGAGAAGCCAGCGACTCCGGCTGTAACACCTGGCTCTTTTTTTTTTTTTTTTTTATCATCCCTGCCACCACCTCTTCCTTTTCCCCGTCTTCCGTTCTCCCCAATTGCTGCGTAGATGGATGCTAGTCTTTCTCACCGAGAGTCTCCTTACTTTTCCATACAGATAACTTACCACCGTTTCTGCTCTGTTCTGGATCTGCCCCCTTTCCTCGGGGGACCCAAGGCCCCACTGTCACCCTGGATTCCATTCGGGTCAGCCCGGCTGGTCCCCAAGGCATTAGGATGGGCGGGGGGGCCACAAAGCAACTTATGTATTCTCTTCCGCCCCCACCCCAAATTAAAATGTTAAGCCGCTGGAAGCCTCGTGCCACCCTGCATCCGTGTCATTGACAAAGCTGCTGCTGTCCCTGAGAAGGAGCCTTGGGGGTGTGATGTAGGCTCTCCCTGCTCTGACTGGTATAATCAAAGCCACTTTTGTGTGTGTCTATTTTTTCTTGGCATTTAAACTCCACTGACGTGAGTCTGTCAGAGTGGGGGACTGGTAGGTTCCCTAGAATAGGAGCCCTCGTCTTCCTCCTCGGCCGAATGAGGTCATCTAAGTCCCTTACTTCCGGTTCTTAAATCACCCCACCTGGGGAGTTGTCCAGCCTCTCTTCAGGTTCTCCGATAAGTGAGGTTGAGAGACCAGCGAAGTGCCTGCTGGCACACATCCTGTACCCTCTCGCCGGAGGTTCAAATGCTGCGTGAGAACATCCGCTGGGTTCAGGTGCATTGTCAGCGAACCTGACTAATTATATCACCCCGAGTCACCAAAACAGACGTAGTGGATAGAATTTTTAACAGTTACATGTTTTCTTTTTGAACCCTTCCTTACCTGTTTGAGGCTTACTGCCATTTGTCTCCTCGTGTGTACACGTGGACTATAAAGTGATAAATGATCATCGGGAAAACAAAAGCAGCCAAGCATGCCTATTTCAAATAACGTGCACAAGTAACGTGGTAATGATTTGTTACATGCATTAATATGTTAAATTTCTGCTAGTAAAATTGTCCCTGGTTTAGATTATGGAATCACGTAATCAGCATCACGGAAACGCCTATTCCAGGTGACACAGCAGAGCTGGTTCAGTCTGGACGCTGCAGCTGTCAGTCGTGGCTCTTTAAGTGCTCGAGTGTTATTCACATAGTGCTCCAGTTATTCAGCAGAGTACATACCGAAAATTCGCTTTTCTTCTAGATAGACATACAGCCTGGGTAGAGAGGTTTTCCCTAATCTAAAACTCTAGGCCTCACTCGAATTCAGGATTTTTTCCCATCCATACCATTTCTCCCTGCCACACAGCCTCTGAAATTAAAGTCCAGATTTATTTATTCATCTGACGCTTAACTGATATCTTCTAGGCACAGGGCATTAAGGTGGGAACAGAACGATCACTCCGGTTGCTCAGAACCTCGTCACAGAGAGATCATACATGTATATGTATAACAATGACGTGGGACAAGTGCCACAAATAAAGTGGTGTGGGAGTTTCGAGGGGACCTTGATTCCAGGGAGGTGATTAGGAAAGACTCACGGAAGGAGGCACGTGACAGATACTTAATAAACACGCCACAACTCGCCTCTTCACTTTCACTGGGTTCCAGAGGATTGGATTTTTGACAAGCAGTTTGGTTGAGGTGCAGTAGATATTGGGCAGCAAAGAAGCGAAAGAATAATGGCGTAGATGGGGATGGGAAGGACACAGTAGCTGTCAAGGAAGGACACAGTAGCTGAAAGCAGGCTGGGGAGTTCAGTTTTATTTTGTAGGCGATGGGGATGTCGCTGGAGGTTTGGACCAGGGTCGTGTTGGGGGGTGCGGAGCAGCGACGAGGAGAGTCAAGTTGCCGGCTGAGTTAAGACCATCGGGAAGGGAGGGCAGGTTATGAGAGTGATCCATTAAGATGATGGTTCCCAAATTTCAGTCACTCACATGCCACTTGGTGGCTTTTGCCATATGCACATGCTGCCTCCGTATTTGTTCAGATCGACTCGTTTTCAAATGTGTTTTATTCTTAGTCTACGAATTCTAATTTGAAATCAGTTAGATGTGCACTAGTGTTTTTCTCTAGTGCACATTAAAATACAGCAAATAAATTTTTCTTAAGGTTCACAAATGTATACTGCTTGACATCTCACCTGCCGATGGCGATGATGATGCCACACTCTGGGCAGTGCTGAGTGAGGCGATTGCTGTTTTTCCAGGGCTGGTAATCTGAACCGGGGTCCTGGTGGTCGAGAGATGGCGCTGTAGGTGGGGTACTTCGAAGGGCTTGGCCGCTAAATGTGAGGAGGGAAAGTCCAGGCGGACTGGTCTGGAGCCTAGGAAAATGGTGGTATTGGCGGTGATGGGCGGTCACGTGGTCCTAGTTCGGAGAGACGGGCAAGGTAGACAAGAATAGAATTCTGAGAAACCGGCAGGTATCCAGGTGAAACAATCCTGGGGCTTGCGGGGGGCAATGATGCAAGAGATTTTGGAATCCATAGGGTGGCAGCGGGTTTTGGCCATGAAGGACATTAGAACCCCAAAGGACAATTGCAAACGTAAAAAGAATCGAGCAAAGGGGGAACTCTGTAGAGGAGGAAGCCAACTGGGACTGGTCGGAGGGGCAGAGGGAGGACGAGTAGCTTTGATATTCGTTGGAAGTTCAAGGCTCGATCATTTCCAGCGGTTCAACTCAGACGGGTGGAGAAGGAAGATAACTGGAGATGGGACATTGTCGTTGACATGTTGTTAGTTTGAGGGTACATTTTGAGCCTTAAGATCAAGGAGAGGAGCCGTGTTTCAAGGAACGAAAGAACAAAAGGCAAGAAGTGTAGCTTAGAGCCCTGTTGGCTTTTGAGAAGTCAGTGTGGCTAGTGTTATGAAGGGCTCAAATTCCAATTTTATTTACTTCTGGTTCCTATGAATTTTACAAGCCGCTTGTGGCTGGTGGCCGCTGCATTGGCTAGTACAGTCCTAGGTGTCTTGGTATTTGGGCAGAAGGAGTTGACTGACAGAGAGAAAGGCTCTTTGGAAAGGAAAGAGGAGAGAAGAGTGTGTTAAATAAACACTTCTGGTCGCTGCTGTCCTTGCCCACGGGTGTGGCTAGTGTGAGCCAGGGGAGAGACCAGCAAGCCGGGGGAGCTGAGTGCAGCTCGAAATAGCCCGTCCTGTTAAATTCACGCTTTCATTCAACGCTCGATACCCTTGAAGAAGCCATCTTGCGAGACTTGAGCCTGGACCAGCTAGGGGATCAGGGTCAAGCATTAGTGGTAATCTCCCAGCGAAGGGCTTGACCTCTCAACTTTTCCCATTCTTCATTTCTAAGAAAGAACCACAGACAGACGTATCTGTTTTTCAATTCCTCGTACCTTTGTTGGAGTGAGGAACAAAAAGGTTGGGCCCCGGGTACCTGGTGGGCGGAACCACCTGCCGTTGTGGCAGCCTTAGGCACCTGGTCTCTTCCCGCAGGCGGTCCTGGCTGAGTACTCCCTAGCCTTAACATTGGGGGAGGGGCGTGGGGGGAAAAAGAGCAAAATCTGTCTGTCTGCCTGCCTTCCTTTCTTCCTGGAACTTTGAGGCTTTAAAGCTCATGTAGTTCCCTTTACTTTGAGCCCCTTCCCCCTTTCCTATTCCGGAATGAAACTGACCTGATTCAGACCGATGACGCCTAAGGGACCGTTCCATGGGACTGTTCCCTCATTAATTAGGCGCGAGGCACAGCTAAAAGGGACATCACACCAAATGGATTCTTTGGATCGCCTCTTTTTGTTTTATTTGGTCGTTATCTGGACCGAGAACTTGAATGAGCTGGTATCTGATTTTGAGTTTTTAGTCACTAGAGATGGCAGAGTTAGACACTCTACCAAGTTCAAGATGTGAGAACAACCACATTTATCTTTCGGACTTCTTACGATTCTTAGGGAACTGTGCCTTCGGGGTTTAATCAGGCAATAAAATGCTCCCACTTCTCTGTCTCTTTATTCTTCCCTAACTGGAACAGAACCCTCATTGACCAGGCTGTTTTGAGGGCTGAGATCCTGATTACACCTCCTTTCCAAGACAGGGGGTTCGCACTAAGCAGCAGGACGTGGGTGCCACAGAGGGGCCAGGCCACGTGGGGAATCTATGTAATATGACACCACAGAGAGTGTAAGCAATGACAGTTCAACACAGACTCGATCCTCTGCTCGTCTTCAGGGTGCCCCAGTGAATGAGACAGGTCCCGTTCCAGGCCTTAGGGAGTTAATGGACAAGTATAGTGGTTTTCTAACGGGGGGCTTTTGTTACGTAGTCCAGGATAACTCTGGGGTGTACAGAACAATCCTACTTATTGCTGTCCCCGGCCTAATAAGTATCTGTAGGGCTCTCTAGATATTATGACAATTAAAACCCACCTCCACGTATTTCCAGATTCCCCTCTGTGGGGAGAGTGGGGAAAATATCATGAATTCAGAACCTCTGGTTTAATGGGCAGTGCAATTTTAAAAGGTCACTAACTTCCGCTTCTTAATACAGCTATTATAGTGCACATAAAGTGCCAAGTATTATTGGGACTGTACTGGTCCCAGCTTCCGGGTGGTATGAGAACACCTCAGCCAAGAAGCCCAGGTGCCTGAGCAAGGCCTACAGTCAGCCCGCAGATGCGATGGCTTTGAAGGCAGAAAAAGCATCTTTTTCATATTGAGGTCTTGAGACCATTTTGAAACAGACTGTAAAACATAGGGAGAAACTTGTTTGTGAGCTTCAGAGGCTGTTACTAGGAGTGGACCAGGAAGGAGCTCAGCTTTCCTGCCCCCGGATCTCTGTCACCTCTGCGCTAGTTGGATGGATTGGGGTTCTCCGTGTCCCTTCTTTGAAGTGTGCTTCGGGTGGGAATCACAGACAAAGCCAGGGACTTGAGCACTTAACTACTGGTGTCAGGAATGCTTGCTTCAGTGATAAGAAACAGGTTAAGAGTCGCTAAAATAAATAATGAGATTTATTTTTTTGCATAATAAAAAGTCTAGACTTGTGCAACTGTGGTCTGATACAGCCTGACTGTGATTTTTTTTCTCTAAAGGTTGAAATATGTAGCTCTAGTCATCACATCCATGTTCAAGGCAAGAAGGGAGGCTGAAATTGTCCCAGCAGACTCCCTCTAATCTCATTGGCCAGAACTGGATCACATGATTCCCCCTAGCTGCAAGGGAGGCTGGAAAAACAATAATCTAGTCTCAGTGGGCTTGTGCCAGTGATTCACCATCCCTGGGGCTGGGCACACTGTTGGCCCTGCAAGGTTGGCGTTCTTTTAGAAAAGAGGAAGTCGGGTTTTGATCGAATAGGTCACTATAATGTGTCCATCCCAACACCTGCAACAAGAAGCATTAGAAGCATTAGAAGGTGATTGAGCGGGTGTAGAGATATTTGTCTCAATCTACCATTCACAATGCTGTATTGAATGCTTTTACAGAAAAACGCTCAACTGTTCACTTTGCTTCCTTTCAAACCCTGATTATTATAACCGTATTTCTTAACGTGCCACCTGCATTCCTTCCTGTGCTCTGTTTCACTTGTCTCTCAGTTTTTCCGCCCAGGGAATGGATACTGTGACGGAGATGTCTTTTCTCCCTCAGAATGTCCTTCCAGCTTGTCAGTCTGATTTTTAAATTTTGTTCCTCTGTTGGTCTTTCCGCCAACTGACTGACTCTGACTGCCTGCTGAATCCTCCTGGCACCCGTTCTGCCTCACAGATGCATGTTACGTTTGCCCTCTAGCTGAAAGTCTCCAAATGCACGTCTGGTACCCTACTAACCTTCCCTTTTTCTCTTTCTCCTCCTCTGTTTTCTCCTCCCCTCCTGTGTTTCCTCCTCCCCGTTGCCGCTGCAGAGCGTCTCTACAGCCAGCTTGAGCGAAACCGGCTGCTTTCTAATGAGCTGAAGCTAACGCTGCATGATCTGTGTGACTGATGGCAGGGCTCCCCGGTGCCCACTAAACCGAGCTCATTGCTCACGCCACTGACCTGGACCCCAGCAAAGAGCTGATTGTCTTTTTGAAAGTTGCCGAGTCGCCCTGAGCAAATTGCTTTTTTAATCGGGGCAGTTAGAGTGCGGACTTCCTGAGAGCACTGTAAAGTGGGAGCAGTTCCCGCTGCATTTTCATCTTTTCTCAAGAGCTCGTGGGTGATAAAGGGAGGGGCCCGAGCGCGTAGTGAGCAAATCCAAGAGAGTTCGCATTGTCCACCCTTATTTGCTGCTCTCGCGCTTGTGCACTGACTACAGGATACGGTCCATTGCATGGCTGTTTTCCCACAATAAAAGGACCGATTTGACACGATGTTGGAACTGCTTCATCTGCAGACCCGGCGTGGGCCTTTCTGGGTGCAGAAAAGGGATGGGAAAGAAAAAAAAGACGTGGGATGCGAATAGGTCTGCGTGCCATCACCTTCTGTGGGTCGAAGCTTTGAGCATTGCCCCCGCCTCCCGTGCTTGCTGGGCGGATTAGATTCTCTCTGATGTTCTGCCGCTGCTTTTCTTCCTGACGTTTTTTTCTCACGCTTTTTCCTGGTTTTATGTTGAATTGTAAGAAACAGGCTAGCTGTAGACAATAACTGCAAAAATCTGTTTAGGCTTTGCTGACACGTATATGTGTGGTAGTATTCTTAGCTTTGTTTTCTTTAGAGATGCTTCGACTTTACGGTGGGGGTTCTTTTATTCTTTTCCTCTCTACTTTTTGGGGAAAGCCTGTCGCTCATGAGGGTCCCCCTGTACTCTTTTCAAGTTGAGATCCTAGTGTTTCTACTGGTAGGAAAAATAGACCTGTCCTTGTTCTCCGTGGTCAGACCCTCCTGAGTCATCTCAAGTAGTAGGTATTGTCTTCTGGGCCAAGCCTAGAAGAGTGGATGGCTGGCACTTAGGGCCTCCCCCTTCAGGGACTGAAAGCTGAAAGGCTTGGTTGGGTGTGAGCGGGAGAGAGCATGACTGACAAGGTCCCCAGCTCCCTCCCCCAGAAATACAGTAAAACCTGCAAATTCAGTAGGCAGGCCGGAGGCCCTGCAAACCCGGGTGATGCAATAGCTCACTTCTGTGGCTGAGAAGGCAGCTGCTTCGTTAGTCCGCAGCTTCCCTGCCGCAGGACCAGTTCTCAGAGCGGGTTGACCTTGAAATTTACTTCTGGTTTTTGTAATGTCTCTCCTTTACCCCCACTAGATAAACTGAAATGCACCAAAGAGGAACACCTCTGTACACAAAGGATGCTGGACCAGACTCTGCTTGACCTGAATGAGATGTAGAGCACCCCAGTCCCGCCCTGCCGCTGCTCCTCCCCCTGACCCCAACTCCGCCTGAGGCCAGCCTGCTCGAAGCTGACCTCTACACCGAGGGCTGATCTTTAACTGGAAGGCTGCTTTCTCCTTTTCCCGCCTCCCACCCCCACCCCTGTGTCTTTTTCGCCAAACTGTCTCTGCCTCTCCCCAGAGATTCCGGTAGGGCTGGAGGCCCCTTACCTGTGGGAGCAACATTTAAGGGAATGCGAGCACAATGCAAAATGTCTTTAAAAGCATGTCGTGATGTACACATTTTGTAATTACCTTTTTTGTTGTCAGTGTAGCAGCCATTTGTAAAACATTCCAAGTAATTCCACAGCTCCGAAGCAGCAGTTTAATCCCTTTCTCACTTTTAGAAGGTAATTTTTCACCCTGATGCACATTGTCCTCTCTCTGTAGAGCAGGGGAAGGTGTGGGCCTGCCTTACAGAGAGCCAAACAGAGCCCAGAGAAAGACTCCACTCTGGGGAGCCTCAATGCTTTGTACAGAGTACCAGCCAAACCAGAAAGGTGATGCCAGGAGTTAGCCAAAAAAAAAAAAAAAAAGCGGGGGAGCGGGGGTGCTGTTCAAGTTTTCAGCTTTAAGGTATCTTTGGGCAATTTTATTCTTTTTTTTTTTTCATCTGAAGTGACCAAATTAAAAAGGTGAGACCTCTGTCTGAGAACAGATCCTTGTCCCATCTCTACCCCATGCCTTCCCAACGGCTCAGAGAATGGATCATGTGCCCCTTATGTTGAGGTGACCAAATATTTGCTTTCCTGCCTCCTTGAAAGAAAGAAAAGAAAATTATGTTTTTGCCACTGATTTAGCCATATGAAACTCATCTCATCACCCTTTTCTGGGTCTGAAGCTGCTGTCTCTAGAAGTGCCATCTCATTGTGCTTTGTATCAGTTAGTGCTGGAGAAATCTTGAATAGCTTATGTACAAAACTTTTTAAATTTTATATTATTTTGAAACTTTGCTTTGGAGTTGGAGCACACCGGCTGCCCCACCTGGCCGAGAGAGCTCTTTGCAGGCTGTGGTCTGGCAGTGTGCTGATCTTTAAAAGTCCCTTTCCCTCCCCAGTACCCCCTTTTTGGCGAGGTTTCTGTGAGGTCTGTTAGGTGCGCATTCTGCAGCTTATTGGCTTAAAATGTCCTCTCCTTGGTGTGGTCCCTTTGGGGGCCGATTGGGAGAGAGAGAAACCAATAGTGCAACTGTTTTGATACTGGAAATTGAAGTGTCTTTTTAAAATAAAGAACCAGTTCCTCCAACTCTCAGACCTACTTGACTTATTTACTAATTCAAATGTGCTTTCTCCACAGGAACTGAGGTTCGGGTTACAAATCAGATCATCGTGGGTGGTAGCAACAGGATTTACTGTAGAGCTCACACTTTGGACTACAATTGGGTTCAAAACTCAGCTCTGAGATTTCTAGGTGTATGTTCTGATATAAATCATGTAGTTTCATCATCTGTAAAATAAAGACAATGTATTATCACATAAATGTAAAGATTAGAAATAATATTCATGTGCCAGGCCTTTTATAGGTTACTTAACACTAGCATCTTTGGGGTGAGCTATATGTTTTTCTTTACAACTGTATTAGTTCTTTCTTATAAGCCATGGATTTCTTAGGCTCTGTGCTCCTACACCCCAACAATATATGACACCGATCACATATTCTTATATGTGTGATTTTAGTAAACTGCCCTGAGAGAGACTTTGAGCTGATATTCTGTTGGATGGTTGGAGAAAAATTAACAAGACACGCTCTCAGTATTTGCTTAGAGACGGGCAGTGTGCGTGGATAGCTTTCAAAGCTGCTTTTGAGACGCCAATGCCTGGTATTTCCTGCACTCTGGCCATGAGGCTGGACGTGAATCTGACATCCTAGTAAAAATGACACGGCTCCATTGACAACGTCCAGCAGTTTATGCTCGAAACTGGAAAAGTTTCTCATTTATAGGCCGAATGGAAACGCCTGCAAAAAATTTTGGCGGGGTGGGGTCGGGTGCCAAACAACGAGGTAGCAGCGGAGAAATCAGACAAATTAAGATTGTTTTCTTTTGACGTCTCTGCTTGATTTTTGCTATTAAGATCTGCCATCCAGTATTTAAGCGGGCATCTGAGTTTGTGCCCAAGGTTTCCATAGCGTCGGCTTGCGGGAGCGCGTCGGAAAGAAATTCCCACAATTCCGAGCCGGGAGGCCCCGCCTCCTGCTGACGTTCCGCCCGTGGATTGGCTGGCGTTGGGCCGGGGGCGCGGCCGTGACCGAGCGGGAACCGGA